GGGTTTTCTGTTTTTGCTTATGATAGACATGTGTATTGGTGTAGGCCTGAACATTGTACACTCATTTCATTTCATATTAATGCAAATAGTATAGGGATTTTAACCCTTTTGCCCTTGAATGTAAGAAACTCACAAATCCTGAGTTACTGAACCGAGTAATTTCTTGGTGTTCCTGTATTTTTTCTTTTGTTATAGCTTTTGGATTTTAATTCTAAAAAAGAAAAATAAACTTACAATTGGTATCAAGAGCCTTTTATTTCTTATTCATTTCTCTCAATTGCTTTTAAATTCACTTATGTTTTCTCTGATACCATTGTCAGGTGAGTCCATGGGAAGCCTGTGCTAGAGATTATCACCAATGGGGTAAGACTACACCACCATATCAAGTGGATCCGGCACTACGTCTCAGCCCAAAATCTTAAGGCATTGGGTTCATGGGTCTCCTCATTTATATACTCTTGACTTAGCCCATTACTAACCATTATGAGACTCATCACACTTGAATATCCCAAAATTATATATACACGATAGAGAGGTATAATAGTGTAGTGTTTAGTTTTAGAATTAGTTATTAGTATCAGAGTTAGTTATTAAAGAGAGTGTAACGAGACTGCACATTAGTTGTATCGAAATTAGCTATCAAGTAAGAAAGAGTCACGGTGGACAAATGCAATAGCCAATCAGCAAGTTGCATTATTAATATATTGTGTGTATGGATAAAGCATTCAACCAAAAATCAAATATTCATTTTTTGTTTTATCCAGTTTTGGTTTTCTCTCTTTTCTCATAGGGCTTATGTGTTCTTTCCTAAGAATTGGTGCTTTTATTTTGAACATCGTCATCATATTGCAACTGAACATGCTAGAAAGAAACAGTAAAGAAAAAAAGATAGAGAAAAACCTCAAAAATAGCGAGTTCTAATTCAAAGGGCAAGTACAAAATGAGTAAAAAGTAATATAAAGACTATTGAAAATTAATTGACATAAGCTAATAAATACACTTGAAATACTTTGTTGATAATAGACTAAAAATATAAACTAAACATTGCACTAAAACAAACTAAGTCTTTAAAACTCCCCTTCAAGATGGAGAGTGGATGTTTTTCACTCACATCTTGGGCAAGAGTGGAAATAATGAAGAAACTAGTAATAATTTTGTAAAAACATTTGCTAGTTGATGTTATGACCGAATTGATATGAACTTGATGAGGCCAATAGAGATTGATCATGCACAAAGTGGCATTAATTTCAATATGCTTGGTGCATTTGTGAAAAGTAGAATTAGAAGCAATGTGAAGGGCTGCTTGGTTATCACAAAATAATAGAGTTGAGGAGTCAATATTGAAGCCCTAGAACTTTCTAAAGTTGACTTAACTAATGGATTGCCGATTTTGGAGAGATCGAGTTACTTAGGTAATTAGAGATGAAGCGGTGTAGGAGATTTGTTTTGATACCATATAACAACTGAACATGCATAAAAGAAATAGTAAAATGGAAAGCTGGAGAAAATCTCCGGAAGCTTGTATTTCACAAAGCAGTAAGTTCATATACAAAGGGCATGTACAAAAGATAAAGTTAAAGTAATATAAAAACTACTAAAAACTAACTGACGTTGTTAGAGAGATAATATAAAAATTATTGATGGGTTTTCACTTCTAAACTTAAGCTTTTGGGTGAAAATTGAAATGGTTACTTAACATGGTCGATGACCACGGGGTCACAAGTTCGATCATTATCGCCCCTCCACTTTCTAGTGGAATTAGGCTAATACATGGTAGAACAAAAAAATGGGCTTATGCAATATCCACACCTCAAAGCCTAAAAGGCTCTTGCATGAAGGGCTGTGTTAAAGAGATAATATAAAAATCATTGATGGACCTTCACTTCTAAGCTTAAGCTTTTTTTGGGTGAGATGGTTTCTTAACATGGTTCTATACCAAACTTATTAGATGTCAGCTAATAAATACACCTAATATAGTTTGGTGGAGAAAAAACTAGAAATACAAACTAAAAACTTAAACTTAAACAAACTAAGTCTGTAAAAACATCATGCAATCATTAGAGCTAGATGAATATCTTGTTCTGCATATGCTTGCTAAAGGTCTTGCTTATTTTTGTTCAAAAAATGGACCATCATTTTGATGTTCAGCGAAAATAGTTCTCCTCAGTCCTCATTTATGGCACAGTGTGAGCAGATGCACGCTGAAGTGTAGACGTCGAAAATTTCTTTGCATGCCATGGACACTTGTATTCATCCACTACCTCATCCTTCAACAGAGGTAGTTCTATAACCATCTTCTCATGGGTGTAATATTCCACCGAATTTGCAATCTGTGTTGCAATCCACTAAGATATTTGCATCTGCATTACCATAAAATATTACCAACAAGAGTGTTCTTGGTCTTCACGGTCATAAGATTTCACTCTTTCACGCTTTCACGCCACCAAGAAGGGCCACATTGGATCTCAATCTTTCACTACAAGAAATAATTTCATAGCCAAGAAGGGTCACATCTTGATTAGCATCAATGAAAAAGAAATCTAGAACATCAATTGATCCTTGCATTTCTATGAGGATGATGAAAAAGAAGACAATCATCACCTCAGAATCCAGATGTGAGTAGAACTTACTATTATCGTGCCCGTGGAGAAAAAAAAGCATTCAGAGAGACCAAGTTCAAATCAGTTCTATTTGTGATTAGAAAAAGTTGTTCACTTCACAACTTTGGCCTAGACACACATGTGGTGAATACCTTTTTTGGCTACAATTGTGGACATGTCCATTTTTCATTCCAAGAGGAACCCTACATTCTTGGTTGAGCTAGAAATGCCCAAAAGTATCTTGGTCAAAGAATGGCTTCTGAGTTGGTCAAAATTTCCTCGGAGTGTGAGAAGAAGGCACGTGAATAAGGTTGTGAAGTAGCTGGATGAACCCCCTTGGAGGTAATTTGAAATGTCATATAGGTATGGCTGACAAAGTTTTTTTCCCTATTAGACCTTGAGGATAAGGTCCATTTGTAATGGGATGAAATGTTATGATAAAAAGGTATAATAATATGGTCCATAATTCTAGAGTGATAAATAGATAATATAAAAATTATTGATAGACCTTTACTTCTAAGCTTAAATTTTTGGGTGAGATTGTTGTTTAACATGGTTCGATACCCCCACAAGCCCACTGAATTTTATATTGAATTATGTTAAGCAATCATCTCACTCAAAAACTTAAGCTCTGAAGTGAAGGCTCATCAATGATTTTTATAGAGTTTGTTGTTAGTATTGAAGTTAATTGTTAGAGTTTGTTAAGCGTTGTATATTAATTGTAATGACATTAATATATATTGATTGTAAGTTATATCGTAGTGTTTATATTTAAATACTTTAATTTAATATTAATATTAATGATTATGATTGAATGTAAAAAATTTTGTCCTTATATATATATATATATATAATTTTTTTATCTAATTAATTTTTAAACTAAACAATTTATGGGTCTATTTTTTTGTGATCAATTTAACTCATTTATATAATGACAATAATTAGTTAAGAGCCTCTTTGAATATTCTCTTTTTTAAGCTAGAAGTTACTTATAAGCAGTGCTTACACGGCTGAGGTCAGGGGTCACGGGTTCAACCGGGGGTTCATGGGATCACTACGCTGATCCGATTTTATATATTAAAAAAATATAAATATATATATATATATATATCTTATATGAAAATATTAAAAAATAAACCACTAATCATCAACGATTCAAAATATACTTAACATAATTCACCAATTACAATCACAAGTCAATATTACACAACCTAATTAAAAAAGACCAAAGTACAAAACTCATATTCTAATGAGGTCACTACGCTGATTTAAAGGTCCCTGACAAAGGAAAATTTAAAGGAAGTAAGAGTGAGTTTTTGTTTTCTATCGACAACCGTAAGGATTTCATTTGAATGAGTAAAAATTTTACATTTTCTAGAAGATTCATGGCAGCGAGGTGAAAATTGAAGACATCTAGGTCGCTGGGAGAGAATAGAACGATTAGATTTAGGTTTCCAAGCATTTTTTTATTTGTTTAATAAAACGATATTGTTTCATGATTTTTTTTTTTTAACTAAAAACATGCAATGACCCCCTTTGACCCCTCTGATCTGGGAGTTATGGAAACCCGGCTGGGTTTTGGGGGTCGGAGGGGTCGATATGCATATAGCCTATATGATATAGGGTCCAACTTGTGACCCCAACCCTCAGAGGGGAGGGGTCAGGGTTGATCTGGGTCAACCGGGGGTTGGAGTGGGGTTTTAAAACACTGCTTATAAGTCAAATCTTAAAAAAAGTTAAAAGTTATTTGGTAATTACATAAAAATTTTAACTTAAAAGACATATTTTAAGAAAATTGTCTCTTTATCTATTTTTATAACTCTTCATTTTAAAAAAGAGAAAGGTTATTGTAACAACAAATTAGTGTTACTACCAATCAATTTCATCGTTAGATCGATTATGTTGATCCAACGGTTATATTTATTTTCATTTTTGTATGGTTATGATTCTCCATATTTAATACTTTATATTTTTTTTTACCTTTGTATGATTATGATTTTCCATATTTAATGCTTTCACATTAAATATGGGGAATCATAACTACACTGATCTAACGGTAAAATTGATTGATAGTAACACTAATTGATTGTTATAATATTTTACCCCTTAAAAAAAAGTACATGGTTTAAGAAAAGCGGATAAGAGCTTAAAAAAAAAAGCTCCTACCTTTTTCCTTCATTATAAAAAAAAAATTTCATTATAAGATTTTTTTTTCAAAATTTATTTGAGTTAACTTATCTTTATAAATAACTTTTAACTTAGAAAAAGAGAATTGAAACAAACAATATTATGATAATATATCATGAATAATATATTCAATTTAAACTGAAAAAGAGAATGCATCGTTAATAAAGTTCTTATAAAATATTTTAGGGGATATCATTCCAGACGACACGCCGAATACCGATATTGACCACCGGCTTCGCCGATCCGGTTTCGAACTTGCGTTGCGTGTGCGGATTTTTGTCATAAAATAATAATAAGGCAAACGCGCTTCCCTAATTACCAACTCTCTCTCTCTCTCTCTCTCTCTCTACGTTTTTTGTTTCACTGATTTTCGATTTTCTCTTTCAACAAGCTTGAATTGAAGGTACCTAACTATGTCTTCCTACGGCAGATACCATTCTCAGTCTTATGCTCCATCTGCACCTGAGGAGCCCCAATATTCTAACGCTCCTCCGTCTTCAAATTACCAACATGCCACTCCTCATTCCCAAACTTCATCCAACGCTTCCGCGCCTTCAAACTACAACAACTATGGACAAGTTTCGTCATCTGGGTATCCTTCTTATTCAGCTCCACCATCTGGGTATCCGGTTTCATCTTCTGGGTATCCGGTTTCATCTTCTGGGTATTCGGGTTTCCCACCTGGGACCAACCCAGATGTGATTCGGAGCTTTCAGATGGTGGATAGGGATCGAAGCGGGTTTATCGATGAGAATGAATTGCAACGAGCTCTTTCTTCTTCCTTTCACCACTTCAATCTTAGGACTATTCGTCTCCTCATGTTTCTCTTCAAGCACCCTAATGAACCCCTCAGAATTGGTAACTTCAATTCCAAATTAGGGCTAGATGTAGACATTCCAAAAATGTGATTTTTATTTTTTATTTTTTATTTATTTTATTTGGGTTGGAGTTGTTTAATTTTATTGATATAAATTGCCAATTGCTTGTGCTGTCACAGGGCCAAATGAATTTGCAGCACTCTGGAATTGCCTTGGTCACTGGCGAGTGGGTCTCTTTTTCATTCTTCCTATATTTCTTTCAGATAAACTGTATTTGCATATTTTGTTAATCTATTTAGTACTATAACTAGCTTCCCAAGAAGCCAGATAGATGGGTAGAACATAAAGTTAGATGCTGTAAAATTCTTCTAAGGCGATTTTTGGTTTATGTTCCGAGTTCCTAATTTAGTGTAGACACCGCGAGTGAATTGTTCCATTGATAAACAGGGATTCTCAAAGTTAAAATAAACTTGAGGCATTCTTTTAGCTCATATACTGTTGCCTTCCATCTAAAAACACCTAAGCATGTTTTATGTATGTTTTGGAACAGTCCCCGCTCACCCTATGCTTCATTAATTGATATATTTAATTGATTTAAGGCAAAACAGTAACCCAATTTTTACTCAAGAATTAAAGGTACAGCACCCCATCCCTTAAAATGATGGTTCTAGCACTAAAATGCAACATGACAACTCCAATCACGGTATGTCCCTCATTACCGGGATTCATCATACTCACTGCAGTAGCAACAACTATATAAGACTCCTCACTTGCACAGGCAAAGGGTTGATCATCTAGTACCCAAGTCATACACTATAAAAGCCTACCCCTAATTCCCTCCCTTATGGAGAAAACACCACTAATACCGATACTTATCTCTTATAAAGGTATTGGTTCTTTATACCAGGATCCTTAAATTGATATGTAAAGAAACAGCCAATCTCCTTGCTAGTTAGTTGCACATTTGGACCATCATACTATACTTAAGAACAATGTTATATGCTTTCCTTTTTGAGTTGTGTCAAATTTTTTTAAGAACGAATCAACTAATGTGAACATCTGTAATCTTTAGCTTTACACAGTGCACAAATTGTCCTGCATTTTAGGCGAGAAATTTAGTGGTCAAGTAATATGAACTTCCGGGCTTGATGCTATATGATTACCATAGATATTGGTAGAGGTTTTCATTTAATAACACATTGTAAAATGTTAAAGTATTCCATGTCCTCGTCATGTACATCCTGACTATAGTTTAAATTTGATCCAATGTAAAATCTTTTGCATTATCACCAAACAAGAAAGTGTACATCATTACAATAACAAAGATTTTGTAAATAGTTGCATTATATAGTTCACTGGCTGTGTAAAAGTGGATCAAATTTTAATCCTACTTATTAACTATCCCTTCCATGTTGGGTAACGAGTCACTGACTCATCTTTGCTGGAATTAGTGATAAGTGATTTGATGCTCTGCACCTTTTGCTTGGGTGAATTTTTTCTGGAAGTTTAAAGTTTGTATTTTATAATAGAACTTTGTCCTTATAATTGCCTCTGAATTTGTTACTTCACTTGTAGGGCATATTTGAGAGATACGATAAAGATAGGAGTGGGAAAATTGATCCATTAGAACTAAGAGATGCTCTGTATGGTATTGGCTATGCTGTACCAGGCTCAGTTCTACAACTTCTGCTTTCCAAGTATAGTGATGGAGGTGATAGGAGGGTTGAACTTGGTTTTGACAGTTTTGTCGAGTAAGACATTTTATCTCGATCTTTCATGTGCTGATTTTACACTCTTATTTATTTGAAAAGAGTAAATTTCCGTTTTGGTTCTTGAAAGATTTCTTTAACATTCTTTTGGTCCTCAAAAGATTGTTGCATCAATTTGGTCCTCAAATTAGGGGTCTCAGTTTGGCCTGAACCCAGTCAAGTGTAGTTTGGGCTAGTAATTTGTTGACTCAGCCTGACCTATGTGGATTACTGGCTATTTGGGTTAGACACGTTAGCCCCATTTTTCTTATTTATACAATTAAAGCCTAAAAATGTTAATTTCAAATAATTTGTTTAATCAGGTTGATTTAAAAAACTTCAATTAATTTGCATTAAGAACAACCTTAGTGCACAAAGGCTTTCCGACTTTGCAAGGGTAGGGGTAAAAGTCGATGTAAGACACTTCGAAGTCTTACATTTGCATTTTGCAAAAGCGGTGATTTTTCGGTCACAAAGGAGCAACCTTATCGTATGTTCCAAGTCTTGTCCTCTTAAATTATTTTGCATTAACATATTTAAAATTAATTGTTACTTAAAATAGATGAATGTTTGTTTTAAAATAATATTTAGGTGAACTTAAAAAAGAACAACTGAGTATTTGTAGTAGTTCATTATGACATTTTCGAACTTGTAGTTGACTTATGTCTGGTCAAAATATTTCGAAGTTTTAATTTTATTGAGTCAGTTCACACATTTTGTCTGGTTATTCCAGTTGACTTGTTCGGCTCGGCCTATTTTGAGACAATTTACCTGAATTGATGCTTTTTTTTTCCATCAAAATAATCAAAAGACTTGCTCTTTACTGGGACTGACCATATCAATTTGATGTCATGCAATGATAAAATCATCATTTGATTATTTGAGGACCATATTGATGTGGCTAATATTTCGAGCAACAAATTTGTACTTTGAAAATATTTCAAGGATCTCATGTTTAGAAAATTTGTATTTCGATCAAATTGGGGTTTACTCTATTTAGAAAATGTCATTATGTATCTAATGTTCTGTTCTTGGATGTATGCAGGTGTGGGATGATTATCAAGGTAAAACTCACCGAACTTTTGAAGCTATGAATGTGCCTGTCATTTCTCTATTTCTTCATTTGTGTTTCTTACTCTGCTTCATGGTTTTACTTGATATACGTAGTTTGGGACAAAGATGTCTATCCTGTTACATTCATGTGCATTGTCTTGATTATGCGATATGTGATAGGAAATAATGTCGTTAGTCTGTTAGTGTGGCATTCTATAATCCAATAAATTTTGCGAAAAAACAATCTGAAGGCCTAAGCATTTTGGAACATCATTTGTTCATTTGAATTTGTAGAAAAATTAGCATTGGGAAATTCATGTTCTTTATAACCAAGTGTTGCTCCTCGTATATACATGTAGTTGTTACCATGCTAATTACTTGTTACATTTTCAGGGTCTGACTGAAAAGTTTAAGGAGAAGGATACGCGTCGTACCGGTTCGGCTACACTTTCATATGACGCCTTTATGTCAATGGTCATTCCTTTCCTTGTATCCTATTGAGAAGTGATGCTCGTCGCCGAGATTTCTTAGTTTTTTATTGCTACATTCAATTGATTGTTTTATGAGTTTGCCTGTAAATAACTACCGAGTTTGTGGCAGGAAAAGTAATGAAGTATAAGTAGACAAGTAGTCACGATAGGTAAATTATTGATTAAATAAGTTTGATATTTTAATTGATATGAATAATGTGATCTGATGTGTATAGAAGTTATGAGTGTTTGAACTTTTTTTTTTTATTTTTTTTTTTATTTTTTTGCTCTAAACATTTTGTATATGTTGTCCATGACGGGCAGAGGTGCAAGGACTAAAATTTATTTTTCAACACCAATATAGTAAGTATACTCACTTTTGCGCACATCACTTTTTAATACCTTTTATTAATCAAATTTCAGCAATCTATTTATAGTTAAGGGGTTTGTAGTAGGAAAATTGGCCAATTATAGGCCGTTAGTAAAATAAGTTTATATTTGCTTATTGAGGGAGGTTATATTTAAACCTTTTTTCCTTTACAGTCTTTTATATAATACAGTCTATAATTTTTGGATTAAAATCTAATTAACAGTTATAAAATTACATTAAATGAGAGCAGTGGAGATGGTAAGTATAACATTTCTTTTTGTTTATATATGTAATGTAAAGTAACGTGTGCAAATTAAAACATGTTTCACTAATACCAAGCAAAACAAGTGGTATTTCTTTAAGGGTTTTAATAGATAAATTTTATCTCTTATATTTATATAAAAGTACGTGGGACATCTATGTAAAAAGAAAAAGAAAAAATATAGGCTCTACACATTTTTATATGCGGAGAAGATATAAATTTATCTCTTATAACATGATAAATAATAAACTCTTTCTTTAATGGATTAATATTTTTCATATTGTTGGAGATAATTTTATTTTTTACATACACATAAAAGTGTGGGGGCTCATGTGAAGAGAAGAGAAAAAATAACATGGATCTTACACACTTTTATGTGTATAAAATCTCCTACAACAAGAGAAATAATAATCTCTTCTTTAATTTATTTTATCCTTCGTTAGTTTGATTTTTTGATTTAGATTAGATGATGTTACAGGTGTGTTTGATTGTGTTATGATTTTTTTGTTTTTAAACCTATTTTGTTGAATAGTTAATGAAATATGTGTTTTCTATATTTTTTATTTATTTTGAAAGGTACAAGTCAAAACACAAAACAAAAATAATTCAGATATATTTTTTAAATTTGATTCTAAAAAAAAATAGTTATAATTTTTAAATTTTTTTACAAAATAGGTCTTATCAAAAGCAATGTTAAGAAAATCGGACCGACCCGGGAACCGGTAAACCGTCATATAACCGGTCCGGTTGAAGCAACCGACCAGTCATGAATCAGAACCGGTGCGACCCAGTTTGACCCGACCGTTTTCCATGAAAATCGGTGACCCGGTCGGTTAACCTGTGACCCGGTCCGGTCCCAAAAAAAATTCCAAAATCTTTTTTTTCATAAAAAATAATTGTAATGAACATATTTGAATATTTGTTTGCTTATTGATTTACATAAGTTATGTACCTACAATACTAATATTATCTCAATTATGCACTATGCAAAAAAATTTGATTTGATTTATAGTTAGAGATGTCATTTTCTGAACCTAAAGTCCGTATCACGATCATTATATTTTTGTTTGATCCTTTATTGGATAATAATATGTTATTTATTATTTTTTATATTAAAATATTTGAAATTTTTATCATTGTTTTTAGATATTTGAGTATGTTTATAATTTTTTAATATAAATTATAAAATTGCATATAATTACCGGGTCATGTGATTGAACCAGTGACCCACTGGTTGAACCAGTGATCCAGTACCTCGACCGGGTCAATGACCGGGCCGATTTTAATAATATTGATCAAAGGGATATTTTTTTTCTTTCTAAAAATCAAAAACTTATTTTTTAAAACAGATTTCAAACAGGCGAGTAGTTTGGGATTTCCGGAAAATTTAGTTATAAAAAATTAAAATATCCAAGAAATATAATTAATATGGAATTAAAAAAAAATGTAGTAAGCATTTAATTTAGTAAGATATCTACGTAAATATTTCCTTCCTAAAGACATGGAATGACTCCAAATTTCGATTAATTGTGAAGCAATTGGTAGCATCTGTGGAGAAGAATATGTACATCACCCATCAAGAATTGTACCATAAGAACAAGATGTTCAGAAGGCCAAGAAAAGCTTTTCTAGGATTGCGCAACTTAACCAATTGTAGTGGACCCCGTCTACAAGATGTGTGGAACTTAACCAATTTTGAGAATATAATCATACATGCGAAATAATACTCTCATGCTACATGAGAATAATATCTTTTCCTATACAAATTTGTTTTTCGTGCCAATTAATTTTTTTTTTTTTTTTAATATAAAATATAGAATCCACATTTAACTTCTCTCTACTTTTTTTCTCTCCTACTATCCTACAACATGAGAAAACTTGAACCCATCATACATACCTTAAAATATGCAAGAATAGCAATTATGAATTCGGTTAAAGAAGTTTGTGCAACTAACCATCCGGTCTAGCAATTCATCAATTCGTACATCATACATTTAAGTATGACTGGTCATACACTCTTGATTGAAATATGACCGGTCAAACATAGTGTAGTTTGTAGAAGTTTAGAAATATAATCTCTCCCATTTTTATTACTTGCATAATATTAAGGATAGCTACCAAAAAAGTTCAGTACAGTTGGTAGATAGTCAGGTCCTTTAATTACCCTAATAGGGATTCGATTCTTGGGCTTTCGGCTGGGGAGTACCCTTGAAATACTTTCAAAAAATATATAGCTATTTTGTTTGATTTTGTGATACGAAAATTATTATTATTATTTTTTTAAAAAAGAAAGTTGTTTGCACTCGTATTTTCTCTGCAGAATTTAATTAAAATTAAATCCGCAAGGCAGAATCTTATATGACAGCATGTCACACATGCGTCTAGTGGTATGGGGACAATCAAGTAGTTGTCATGAACAAAATTTTATTGAAATATATTTGTTCCAGAGTTTAGCCATCAATGATATAGATTTCTACTTTAATTGAATAATAACAAAGCACCTAAGACAGATAAATGGACTTGAATAAAACAAATACATTTGACTTGATTTCTAAATTAATTATGCGATTTACACGTATGATCTGAAATAATCTACTCTTGGAATTTTGATGTTGGCATTGAATTCTGGAGAAATTTGGTTTTAGTTTTACAAATTTCCATATTCTTAGCTATATTTAACTGGACTGAGTAATAGTTTTTCAAAAGAAAAAAGAAAGAAGCCACACCTTTAAATACTAAAATCAAAATGAACTGATAAGATTGAAAAAAATCTGCAAAACATCATAAATTTGATTTGTATCATTAGTAGGGTCATTAAGTCTTCTTTTTTGCCCTTGACTTTAAAATGTGGCAACCACCACTCTAAACTTTATTATGTAAACAAAATAAACATGCCAGCACGTAGCAAACTAGCAATCACATAATTGGATATGTCTAGCTACAAACTGAATGGAAAACGTATTTGGGTTGAGATTTGCTACGGCAGAATCTTGGATTTTTATTTGTTTTTATTTGTTTTTCCTTATTGAAACATTCAACTTGGATTTGAAGGGAAATGAAGGACAATTCTTACTAACGTTGTCAAACTCGAGTTTCTACGTAGAAACGGAAAGGGGTGGTAGAAACGTAAAACGTAAAAACGACACGAAACATAAAGTTTCTACATTATACTACTTAAGATCAAGATATAAAATTATATATATACATGTAAAAAAAATATCACATAATAAAGATGTGTGTTGAGCCACTTATCTATCTAAAAAGAAAAATTATTTTTGATAATAAAATATCAAAATTATAAATAGTGATAACTAACAAGTAATGGATAACCAATATGTTCTAACTGCTTCATACACTCTGCAATTTTGGATCATCGTTCATCAGGATATAATTTCACTTCTTTCAATGCACATAATGATTCAAAAACATGTATAAAAAAAAATGATTCAAAAACAAAACAATTCTCATAGCATAACTTATAATAGAATTGCAGTTTTATAAGACATAATTATAAAAGACATATATCCAAACAAAAAGATATGAAGATATGTGCATAGGATTTGAGGAAAACGAAAATTGGGTTTTTTTTTTAATTTCTTTTCTGTAAATCTTTTTTTTTAAAAAAAATAATTCGTTTTAAGTAAAAACGGTAAAAACATAAGTTTTTGCCGTTTTTACGTGTTTGCGTGACGTTTTTACCAGTTTTTATCGAGGGCCGTTTTTACTTGCATTTTTTTGTCTTTTTGACAACAATGATTCTTACCATTCTTCTTCGGTTGATATAATTAGAGCTGGCAAAATGGGCCGGGCCCGCCGGGCCGGCCCGCCCCGCCCGCCAAACGGGGCAGGGCGGGCTGAGTTTTCTAAACCCGCTGCCCGGCAAGCCCGCCCGGGCTGATTTTTTTTTTTTTTTTTTAATTTTTAGTGTAAAATGTGACGGGCTTGGCGGACAGCCCGCCCCGCCCGCCCAAACGGGACGGGGCGGGCAGAGATATCTAGCCCACCTTCAATGGCGGGGCGGGTCAGCCCGCTTTTTGGCGGGCTTTTGGCGGACAGCCCATTTTACCACCTCTACATATAACAAGCAGCATTCAAATTTAATGAGTAACGACCCTGAGCCTTTAATGTCTTTGATCATAATCTCTCATATGCTTCCCAAACATCTTTCTCCAATACAAGTATAATCAAAGTTAAAGTAAACATCATGTTTTTACGTTAAAAGTTTTACCTTATTTCTTTGTTTGCAATTGTGCAATCTCTGAAGTGAAGTTTAATTTTCATTATTGAAGCTATTATTATACCTTAGTCTTAACTCAAGGACACGGCTCCACAAACCCACCTATTGATGACAACCACATTATATTTAGAGCAATCATCCAAGTAGCTGGTAAACTTTCATTTTCTTACGTGTGGTCCATTCAATTTCTAATTGATATTTTTCATACTACTTTGTTGTTGTTGTTTTCTTTAGCCCAAAAATATTTTAGGCGTGGAGGTTCGCCATCTGAACAATGCTTCGACGCAAAAAGAATTTCAAAATAGCAAGCTACGCGTGCACACAAAAATTAAAGTAACTCCTTTTGGGTTTGTTTATAATTTCGTCATCCTTTTGCAATCAAAGCGTGCACAAAAAACATTTAAGAAATATCTCCTTCAAATATGAAAATAGACATATCAGAAAGAAAAAGTCTTTCACTTATCTCAACTATTTTGTTCTTAAATGCATTTTAAAATGATTAAAAAAAACTATTATAACTGGCATAAAAATGGGCGACAGTTGTATTTATACATTGAAACAAATCAGATAAAAAATTATCAATTTAAGTTTTACATGTAAAATTTCTGACAGAGGCTACAAAAAAAAAAAAAAAAGATCCTCATAAGTCATAACCCAACATTTTCTTCTACATATACAACATATTTCTATCTTTCTGTCTAAAAAAGAAAATACACTTTCTATATCAACTTTCTGTCAAAAAAATAATTTTACTCCTTATTACATATCCAATTTCTGGCCTCTACCTTTGATTGTTGCTAAATTTTGAAATCAATAATTATATGAATGGTTTGAGCTACTAGATTTCTTTAAGCTAAGCCTCGAACAATTGTTCCCATTGCTGTGTAAGAAAAATGCAGGATTTGCCTTCAAGAAAAGAGAAGAAAAAAAAGCTATGCTGCTTTTGTCTCCCTGCAAAAAAGCATCAATAATAAGTCAATAACAAGCTGAAAAGTAAATTTCTAAAAATAAATATCAAAAGTGGAAGAAATTCTTATGCAATACTTCCAGTACAATTTACTTAAATATTTAGTTTTTTTATTTACATCGCATTTTCTATGGCCATTTTATTAAATCTTTAAAATGGACGTACCAGTACTAGATATACTATTGAATGACATATATATTGTTATTAAATTTCTCTTCAACCCATTTCTTTTTTTTTAATATTATTCGTCGGTTCATTGATATTCAACTAATCCGATTCGAGCTGAGTAGAATCACATAGACGGGCAAAACTCTTTTTATCAAGTTTTAACATAGTTACATTCATATAAATTCGAATTCAAAACCACCAGTTAACTTTAACGAATTAATCCACATACTTGTCAATCCATTCCCCTTTTGATCAAAATATATGAAACTATTGATCATTGCTACGTCGTTAATATCCTTTGGGCTTGCTAAATCTACTTAAAATTGGGGTACCAAAAATAAAAAGAGAGAATGCTAAAAAATTTATGAAGAGAGAGAAAATGCTGATCCAATAGTGATTAGACAGGTAATAAGTTGGTAGTGGAAAATTTTTGGTAGTAAAAATATCCCTCCTCCCGTTTAAAACAGTACAAATATAAAGATATTTTTGCCTAGCCAATATGTCAACATCAGAAAAGAGAAGCACTAGTTATGCACCAAAAGGTCAAAGCAAGCATAGAGAAGCAGCTTGCAATCACTATTCGAGGCTTAATATTTTTCTAGTGGTTGTGCTGTCAATCTTATCCCGTTAGGACCATTCTTACGTAACAATTCTATAAATTCAATTTCATAGGTTTGGCCCATGTCCATGTCCATGTCTAACAGCCGCCTCCAGCCCACTTTTGTAGAATCTTCCACATGACATGATTTTTGTCCAACAAAGAAGCATGATTAATTCTTATTCAGGTTAATGGGTTGAAAGTTTTCTCCATTCACACTCTCAAAAGTCAAAACTGCACCTATGCTTACGAGGTTTTTTAAGTTGCATGTGACACGCAACAATGCCATGTATGTAATGTAACACGTTGTTTGACCTCCCAAACAGTTCATAAAAGGAAATTCTTATTCTAAGAGGCACAAGTTATCAATTACTTGATAGTAAAATAGAACCTCTGATACTATGAAAGTTCATCTTGGGATGTCAGGGAGAAAGTAGTGGAAAAAGGGTAAACCACTTTTGAGATAAGGTTCACAACCATGAACAAAATTCATGAGGACTGGCTTTTTATTATTTTTCTTTTTTTTTCTTTTTTTTTTTGGATTACATCCGAGTATCTCCACAGCCCATAGCCATGAGACTAATTTCTCGCCCCGGATCAGCGCACAAAGCGATAAAGAGCTAGCCACAAAATGCTTTCCATTCACAAGAGTTGGAGTTCGAACCCCCAACCACTTGTTTAAGGGACGAGATGCTGAACTATCACGTCCACCGACGTGTTTTTATTTTTTTCCCTCTGAATACAACTGAAATTGGACTTTTGTATAGGTGAAGACTAGAAGAATTTTATTCATGTGAAGATTCACACGCATGATTGCAAGTGGGAGATAAGGAAGATGGACACCCATTACCATATTGTAACCTTTAATAATAATAATAATAATGGGAAAAGAAAGGTTTTCTAATTTCTAGGGATGGTATAGCGACACGAATTAGACAGCATTTGACAAGTTCTACTTAAAAGAGATACCATTTAGGCAGAACTTTGCACAGTATGGTTCCAAAACTTTCCAATCATATCATTTTTCACGCTATTGTATTTGGTATGGTCCTATTAGAAAGTCAAAAGAAAAACATGAAGGAATCGTAAACGCTTTCAAACTTTTTGACAGAATTCCCACCCCATTATGCCCGTGATCATTGCAAATTTGCTTTGATATGGTATACTTGATTCATAAGAATTTAGAGGCTGAACTATTTAGCATGTGACCTAAAATTCTACAGCATAGTTTCATTTTTGATATTTTATAAGACCCCCGTGATATCCCAACAAATACTGATATCGTAATGGGGAAAAAAAATAAAAATATCAACACTTGCAAATAAAAAAATCAAGGACAAAATTAAATTTTTCCTCACCTTCAACAACTTCCACTTGCAAAATCTTTTCTTTTATTCCTCATCACGATCTTGAAAGCTCCCAAGTGAACACCAACAATGTAAATATGAAGATGAGAAAATTGATGGACAAAACCTGCAGATTAACAGCAATAGCAACATTAATAATTATTCAATCAGATACTCTAGACAAATATTAAAAACAAAAGGCAATGAAACTTGTGCACAAGTAAGCAATTTTTGTGAATTTCTCATATCTACTTACATTGGATTTGGATTCTATAACCATTTGTGGGAGATAACCCTGTAATCCAATGTTATAAACTGGGGTACCATCAGGATAATAAAGGCCATAGTTTCTCTCTGATATAGGACCAGGCTTTAAATCCTCATTAAAAAGAGCAAACACAAAAATATCAATTGGAACGGATGGATTAGCAGGAGTGCCTTGTTTCTGCTCTATTCTCTTCAACAAATTACTATTATATATTTCTGCATTCTCAGGTGTGGCTCCAACCTCATCAGGGTCACCCTTAGAAGGCCAACCTGTCTCTGAAATCCTGACTACAATATCAGTATGCCCCAGCGCTTTGATGGCAGCATATACAGCATCAATTTGAGCATACAACATGTTATCATAAAGCAAATTGGTATTTGGATCAATGGACCCTGGATTTGGCTGAAAAAGTACATAATTTAGAGAAATTTGATTTGGGTCACCCTTATATGCAAAAAAAGGATATGCATTGATGAGGAAAGGTGATTTGGTTTGAGCATGAAAGTTAAGAAGGGGTTGAATAAATTGTATCAGATTTTGACTGAAAGCCCCAGATGAAGGAGGGTATGAAGAGGATAAAATGTTGAAAGAATGAGCTGTTGTGACAGTAACTTGTTGAGCTAGTCCAAGATTAACAAGGGCATTATACACACTTTGCATTGCTGGAACGAGGTTTATCATGAGCTGAGTATCATTGCTATCGAAGACCTCATTTCCTACCGTGATGCAAGTGATTTTGGTCTGTGAAATGTAAGGTTGAACACGCTGTTGAACCCAACTCTGAGCATTACTAGGGTCTCTCACGCTTTGCAGGTCCTCGTTTGCAAGTCCTATAATAAATTCTACATTAGACTTGGAGAAAGCAGATAGAACATTTGGATCAGCATCATAGAGTTTGATTCTGCTGACATTCAGAGATTTTATAAGAACAGCCACACGAGATGGAGAAGGAAGATTGTTGGCTATTTGTCCATAGTTGATTCCAAAATTAAAGCCACGGGTTTGCACAAACACATCTGAAAAAAAAAAAAAGAGTTTGAAATATCAGATTATTTGAGAGACAATCATAGCTATTACGTTTGTTTTACAATGCTGAAAAGCTATAAAATTGATTTCACTCCAAAGAAAAAGCATACCCCAAGAATTGTACCAATTAACAATCAACCTCTGAATAGAAAATGGTGTAAACAGACAAACCCATTTTCAGATCAGATATTGAACAAACGCAAAAGACATATATTTTTATATGGAGATTGGAGAATTGATACTCAACCCAATTGACAAAATCAGAAGGCTAAATTAATGGTTGATTCCTCTGAGCACACATTTAGTCTCACTTTCATTCCATGAAGCTAGAAGGAATAGTATTCTTATCACAACTCAAGTAGGATAGAATGTTTCATTACCAATGAAACATTAACAAGATAAGATTATTCATTGACTTTGTTTCCATGGAATCATACATAACAAGACAAGTGAGTAACATAACAGATAACGAACCCGAAATAGTGAGAAGCAGAAACAGCACTCTGAAGAGGAAGGAAGAGGTTGTCATTACTGAATTGATGTTGGCCATAATCGCCAACCAAGACCACAACGTTTCCAGGCTGAAAAATCAACAGCAAATAATGTTGGCCACATAGCAAAGCTTATCATATATCATATATATAACATATAAAACAGAGCAACTATATGTCTTTATGTGAAAACTGGGCTATGCTATTGGTTTTTCTCTAGCTCTCTCTTAGTTGGTGTTGTTGTTGTTGACATTATAATAAACCGACTAATTAGTTTCCACGTATTAATAAAGAAAAATATTAACCTCGTCACGTGAGACAACAAGTCTCTCCTACACACTCAAAAAGATTTCTCCTATTATGGATCCACATAAAATTATGTGTACAACATGATAAATATCTCCTGTTACGTAAGAAAATATAATCCCATTAATAAATAATAACGCCGGTATTAGCCATTTAGGCTCTGCCGATTCGCCGACATAAGGAGATTTATTTATTTTTTAATAGATTAAGGAGATTTTATTTATAACCTGTCACTACTCACTACCTCATTGATATTTACAAAATAAGATCCTTATTTTTTTTCTGAAAAGATTCATGATTCATGAGCACTGCCAACTGTGGAGTAAAAAATTAACTTTATAATTGTTTTCTCGTTCCGTTACTGTTGTCTCCATTTTGCTTTAATGGCTTACATTAGTTTTTAATTACTTTTATTCCTTCTTTTTTGGATTATATTAGTGTTTAACTCCCCAAATCTAAAGTAGAAGAGCCAGTGAGTTAAAAGAATTTTAATTGTAACCATCAGAACCTTTTTTTCCGTTTTTGTTTGTTGTTTTTTTAAAAAAAAAATACTCTTCAGTCATCAATTATAATTATGTAATTCAGTTATGGGGAAAAACATCTATTATTTTAAAGGATATAACCTTATATCATTTTAGATCCTAACCGTTGATTTCTATTCATCAACGATGGGTCAAATTTAATAGGCCAAATTTATTATTAATTAATTAATAATTTTGATCCATTAAATTATAACATTTGATAGACGAAAATCAATGGTTAAGATCTAAAATGATATAAGCTTATATCCTTTAGAATAACAGATATTATTCCCTTCAATTATTATATGAAAATTATTTATTTTTTCTCTACATATCCACTGACAACTTTTGAAGAAAAATAATAATAATTTAATATTATAATTATATATTCTCCGAAATATATAATTATAATCGATGATAGAAAAAAAATTAGCAAGAAGTAGATTTTTTTTTTTTATTTCTATGGGATATGAAAACACTGAACTAATTGAACCTTCAATAAGCAGCTGTAAATTTAAAATTTTAGTAAGATCTTATTCCATTCGACCGAATTAATTAATCAAGGTAGAAAAATTAAAAAATAAAACGCTGAATTATTGTCAACTGAAATTAAAAGCAGATAAAGGGGTTGGAAGTTGAACCGTCGCACTTCTGGGGAAGGCTGCTTGACTTCTTGAGCCATCAGTGGCAGTTTATATATATTATTTGGTATGGACTAATTTGGGTATAGATATTTATTTTGTGAATAAAATAAATAACTTAATCTAATTAAAATACTAAAAATATTATTTGTACATTATTTTATTTTCATTTTTTATATTATTTTATTTTTAAATAATAAAATAAGAAAAATATAATTCCAAAACACTTTTTTTTTTTTTTTTTTCAATCAAGAAAAGTATAAAAAAAATATTGTTTTCAAAATAGCATCACTGTAAAAGATAGATGAATCTAATATAATTTAGATTTTTATGTATTTCAATATAAAACAAATAAATAATGGAATGGATAAATAACATTTTTTATTCAGTAGCAGCTAGCCTAAAAGCACAGTTTAACTTCATTATAGGTTTAAAAATAATTAATTACACAATAATTACGTGGATTAGAAGGGTAATGATGGATAAGTTTGTAGACTTTTTTTTTTTTTGGTAAAAAGTTTGTAGACTTTATATAAGATCATCTGAATTTTTAAATATTTTAGTTGAATAAAAAGATTAAAACAACAATGATCGAGCTCTTAATTACTTTTTAGATCAGAAAACAAACATATGTATAGAATATTCTCCAATTCATTTCTATTTGTGGTATGTTTTTATTTATTTTTTATGACCCAAAGGTAATAAAGAAAAAAAAAACTGTCCTTTTTTTTTCGGAATGTCAAAAGTGATACTAAAATTTTAAAGTGAAAGATAAAAACATAGGATGGAGAAAAAAAATTCTGAATGGTAACATCTGGCTAATTAATTTGATGAATCGGGAAAATGAAACACTATATTATAATATAATATTGGGATTATAAAACGTTGAAATGTAAAATGTTTACGCGGATCTCAGCATAGCCCACGTGTTAAGCACCGCCTCTCTGAAACCGCGCTGACACCTCAGCATTGGCACGTGTTTGCGTGTTAATATCTGTTTGCGCACTAAGCACCACTTTTTTGAAAACCGAGCTTACTTCCAAATTTCTCGTCGACTAGTCCTATATGAAAAAAATTATTTTGAAATAATTTTGTTATGTGAAATTTTTATGTCTATTTTTTTTTATATACAATAAATAGATAGGATCCAATTATTATTATTGAAGAAAGAGATGATACAAAAATCTCACATTATCAGATCATGTGGAGTTCAGTCCAATAAGCCTTTGTAACATTATCTATAAGGCAGTTACCAAACTGATCGCTCTTAGGCTTAGACCTTATATGAACGCTATTGTCATGCCCAACCACTGGAGCTTCATTCGGGGTAGACACAGCTCTGACCACATTGTTATTGCTCAAGAAATCATACACTCTACGCGTTGTAAGAAATGGAGAAAGCGATGGATGGCCATCAAGATTGATTTGGAGCAAGCTTACAATTGAATCGATTAGGATTTTATGGAGCTAACTCTTAAGGAAACTAGACTGCTTTTAATGCAGTTAAGATTATCATGCAATGTGTTTCGACAACTTCCCTTAATGTCATATGGAATGGCAGCCATACTAGAGATTTCAACCCAACTAGAGGCATCAGACAAGGTGATCCTCTTTCACCCTACCTGTTTGTACTTTGCATCGAAAGATTGGCTCATCTCATCAATGAAGCGGTAGCCAGGAAAAAGTGGAAGCCTATAGTCTTGAAGAAAGGAGGACCTCCTTTGTCCAACCTTTTTTTCGCTGACGACTTGCTCATTTCCCCTGAGGCTTCTATGGAACAAGCGAGTTTAATAATGCAAATCATTGACTGTTTCTCCAGAGCTTCTGGCCAGCGAGTGAGCAGGGAGAAAACAAGAATCTTTTTCTCCAAAAATGTTCATAATTCTAGGGCTAAAGAGATCACAATCTTAACAGAATTCTCCAGGACGTCTGACTTAGGGAAATACCTGGGTATTCCTCTCATTCATGACAGAGTTTCATTAGCAAAGTTTGACTTTATCCTCAGGAAAATTGATGTCAGGCTGAGCAACTGGAAGAAGGCAACCCTCTCGCTGGTTGGTCGCATGACCTTAGCTCAATCAGTCCTTGCTAGCATTTCGATTTATTCAATGCAGACCTGCATTCTTCCTACCAAGATTTGTAGGGATATTGAGAAAAAGATTCGGGACTTCATTTGGGGCTTTTCTCCGAAGACTAGGAAGATCCATGGCACTGCCTAGGATAATATTTGTAGAAGTAAAAGAGTTGTGGCCTGGGAATCAAAAAGATACGCCCCCTTAATAGAGCGTTCTTTATCAAGTTGGGTCGTGGCCTCCTTACTCAGTGTGATTCTTTATGGGTGAGAGTTTTGAGAAATAAGTATCGAGTGGGTGAAGGCCTTATCCCCCATCTTTCTGCCAAAAAAAACTCTTATTTCTTATGAAAAAGGATTCTGAATTTTTTGCTTTCAATCATAGAGGTTCTAGCATTCAGGTTGGGAACGAGAATAACACTAGTTTCTAGTTTGACAAGTGGGTTCCTAACTGTGTCCCTCTTGTTGGACAAAACACTGTGGAGATCAATAATAAAAATCGCTTTTGGATTGTCAACCACTTGGTTAAGAGCAATGGAGGCTGGAACTGGAACTACATCTCGACCATGATATCAAGAGAGGCTTGTGAAAAACTAGCTAATATTCTTCCACATACTCCCCTTAGTGGGGAGGATAAAGTTATCTGGACTCTCTCGATTGACAACATGGTCTCCATCAAATCTGCCTATAATCTTGTTATTGCTGCTACTTATTTTGAGGAAAGTCGTGATTGGGATGTAATATGAAATTGGGATGGACCGAATCGAATTAGATTCTTCTTATGGCAGGTAAAAATGATATCCTTATGACGAATGTCAGAAGGATGGAGCGTAAGTTGACTACCTCAGCCTTGTGTCCAAGATGCCTTTTACACGTGGAAAACTGTCAACATGTCCTTAGAGATTGTGCTTGGAGCAAGAGAATTTTGGAGAGGCTCCTCCAAAACCCCTTACCTCAGACTTTCCTCAACCAACCTCTTTAGCTTTGGCTGAAAGATAATCTAACTAAACGCACGGGTGCTTGCTTTGTCCAGCATTGGCACCTAACCTTTGGATTTGCTTGTTGGCATATATGTAAAGCTAGAAACGAGTTCATTTTCAATGGCAAGACTTCGAATGTTTGGGGGACTAACTTAGCTATAAAAAACTTTGTCTGCAGTATCATTGATGCTAAAAAACTCTTTCTCCCATGTGGCCTCTCGTCCGTGCAAAAATATGTTCAAGATATTAGATGGCAGCACTCTTGTCATGGTTGGATCAAGGTGAACGTAGACGGTTCTAGCACCAACAATGGGAAAAGTTCCAGCTTCTGAGGTGTATTGAGGAATGATACGGGCAAGTGGATTCTTGGTTTTTATGGTAGGTTGGGTCATGGTAACTCGTTAACCACTGAGCTTAGAGGCTTTCTGGAAGGAGTGCAATAAGCGAGAAAGGCAGGTTACAAATATGTGTAGGTTGAGGGGGATTATATGGTAGCTGTTAACATATCAACAAAGCTTGCCAAGAAGGCCACCCCTTTGCTCCCTGTATCAGCAGGATTCAGAACCTTCTTTTAGAGGATTAGAATGTGATAGTCTCTCATGCTTA